CTAATTTAATCTTCCCAACAAGCCTGGGAGAAGAAATCTGCACCTGGGAGGCCCAGAGGTTAAGGTCACGTGGGAGGGGGCGGCGGTGCTGGGATTTAAAGGCGGCCGTGCAGGGCTCCCAAGTTTACCCGGCACTCCCTGGGCCTCACCGCAGGCAGTAGCCTCTGGGGTCAGCGCCCACTTACTTAAGCTACGAGACCTTGGCCGAGTTAACTTAGCTACCAAGCCTCAGGTTCCTCTCTGTAAAAGGTGCCCATTGTAACTGGGAGAGCACTAACCCACAGCAAGCGCTGTCGGTGGGAATTACTGTATGACAAGGCAGATTCTCCTGTCCACGACAGGTGAGTGGTCTCTCCTTCTGTTCCCTGAAGTGAACAATCAGCTCTTTAAAGAGAGGATGAGGGGACCCAGACATCCTGAATGCTGGTTCTGGAAGCTCGGTGACACCACATGCTAGTATGGCCTTCAGTCTGGTGACCCCTCAAACCCAGGGATTCCGAGATCCGACCTTACCCATCAAAGCCAATCACAGTCTTGATTTTCATAAAATAAATTAACATCCACGTTCCTCAGCAGCCACTTTAGTATTTTTTTAAAGTCCCTCTTTGGCAATTTTTTGGTTAATTTTTCAAAGTCCTTCTTTGGTTAATTTTCTGGGGGTGGGGGAGGCGAAGCATGAATTCATTTTACTTTCTAATTATTGCATCTTCACAGATACCAAGAGAAGTACAGGCGCCTGGGACAGCACTGGCCCCCAGCAGCCCCCACCCACTGGTCAGGGAGTAAGAATCAGCATTCTTTTAAAAATGAGTCAGATGGAAACATCTATTTTCCCTGGGCAAGTAGGTTAAGAGGCTGGTGGAAGCTGATGTCATGAAGTCATGTCCTCATTTTGTTCAAAATACACGCTCCTCAGGAATAAAAGGCTGAGCTGCTCACCTCCAAACTGGTGAGCCTCCTTTGTTCTGTGTCAAAGGGCCCTTTGTGTTCACGCAACTGAAACTCCAGCTACCAAAAGTAAAATGCCTTTCTCTAAAAAGACATATCTTGAATGGAGCCTCTCAGTGGAGCTCTGCCCCCAGATGATCCTGGATGAGATTAAATTCCCCAGGGAAGACTGGTACTTGCCCAGGGAAATTATAACTGAGACAAGGTTCACAGCACCTTGACGCTGGGGTGGGGTGGGGGTGAGGGGATGTGGGAAGCAGCTTCTGGAAGGAGGAATTACATCATCACAAAATTTTCAACACCTGATGATCACGATCTATGAAGCCCAAAAAGCAAGTTGTAGGACTTGATGTATAAAGTTATCTCGTTTTCATTTTAGTAAGTATATCTATATTCAAATGGTAAGAATACAAAAAAAAAATCTGAAAGGGTACCCCCTCGAACCAGAATAGTCTTTGGTACACTTTTGTAATTAACTTTTTTTAATAACGAGCATTAATTACTGGAAGAAAACATGAAAACAGAAACAAAATGCAATCAGGTCCTGCTATATTTACCTTACTTCTGTTGGCGGTAAGGGGTCAAATTCCACTCCTTCGCCAAAGGACAGGGGGCATAATCTTGGTGAGTAGCCGGAGGCCAGGGGGTTGGGGAGAGAAGCTGGATTCTGCAAAGATGGAAAATGCAGTTAGACCACAGGCCCATCTGATGCATTCCCCACAGAGGGTCCTGGCTATGAGCCTCCAGCTGATGGGCCCAACTATGATTTGCATCCCCGTCCTGGGAATGATGCCAGAGAAGGGCTGCCCCCCAGCCTGGGAAGAACCCCCAGAGAGAGTGCCGAGGGGTCTGCTCGAATCCCAGGTCTGTCACGAATGTGCTCTGTGCCCTCAGCACAGTCACATCAGAAGCCCTGCGACCTGATCTACACACCGAGGGGGTGTCCCCTTCCATCGAGGTTTTGGGAAAGGATGAAAACAAGATACGAAGTTGAGCTCAGCATCACAACCGTGGCCAGGCCCTGAGGCTTCTGCCTCTGCCTGAAGCCAGGCGGTAAGAAAAACGCAATGAACCGAGGCTTCCCCACCCCAGAACCCTCAATTACGTGTCCCCAACCCCGTCATTGTTTCAGCAACTCTCCAGAAAAGGCCAAAACAAACAAAAAAGAAAAGCTAGCAGAGATATTTTTTACACTGGAGTTTCAGTCCAACTTCCCCCACGTCCTCTGCCTCCGGGGCCACCAGGTCAACATCCAGCCAAGACGGACGAAACTCACTGGTAAGACAAACACCAAAAAGTTCTCTACATCACCTGCCACTACCCAGAAAACTCAAAGAACCAGGGCACAGCATCCCAGGTGAACCATCTTCCAGCCTGGTCGAAGCATCTCGTTTTCTGATTTACCAAGTAGCCTGAGTAAGAGACAGGACCCACCTCCACACAGGTCCTAGTGTTTTGCTCTGTCTGATTGGAATCAGGGCTTCTGTGTTAAGTGAGTGACAGAAAACAGCCCTTTGGGTTCCTAGGTTTACCAGGAGCTGTCATTTTCTTGGCCTGATTGGAGAGAAGGACCCACACTTGGGTCAGGGTGTGGCCATGGCAGCCCACCCCCATGTCTTCCAAGAAGCAGACATTTCTAGAAGGTCGGCTCTAAGACTGTTACGTTACCAGGACACGGTGTCAGGTTGGGGCACAGGGTGGACATGCAAAAGCCAAAGGGGACCAGATAGGTCAGGAGGAGTCAGGGAGTCCCCAGGTCCAGAACTGAACTCGAGGGAAGAGTTTAGTAAGCCCTCACTGGGGCGTGAGAACTAAGGTGGGTGGTGGAGGGAGTAAGGTGTGGGCACTGGCTGCTGAAGAGCTTTTGGAAACAGCCGCCTGGAGAAACAATGGGCCCTGCTCAGCCCCCAGTTCTCTGGCTGCCAGACACTCCCCAGCCTAGGCAGTCCCCTTCCAGGCAGTCCTGGGGGTGCAGAATGACACAGCCTCCAAGAGGAGGCAGACAGCTCCCAGCGCTCACACTAGATATAGCCTCCTTCTCAGTACCCATACAAGCACTCCTGTTGTGTGTTCTCTTGCTTTCTCTGCTCCCGCATCCCTGCCCGCCCAGCAGACACCCTGCGCACACACCTTGCTCCAGGGAAGGCTGGAAGGGGGTGGAGCAGCAGGGGTTAGACTCATAACAAGGTGCCACCAAGGAAAGGGAACGAAGCCACAGCCTCTGGCATGGCTCTGGGAGGCATTAAGGAAGACCTCCTAGAGGAGGTGACAAGTTGGGCATTGAAGGGCTGGCAGGAGTTTGACAGGTAGAAAAGCCAACTGTGTGTTGGGAGAGGTAGAAGTGGATGGCCTCAGAGGGAAAAGACTCGCCAGGTGGAGGGAGCAGCGTCAGAGGCACCGATGTGTACATCTGCCTGTGGTCAGGGATGTGGAAGGGCTAGATGGTGAGGCTTCTGAAGGCCAAGATGAAGCAAGTGCTATCTTCTAATGGAAATGAGAGAACCCACTAATGACCACTGACAGACAGGATCAGTGGTCAGGAATTCATTCCACCCACCAGCAAAGTGGGTGGGTCCCTAAGGAGCAGCAGCTGCCACTGAGTACTTCACCCTGGGGGAGAGGGCTGTAAATACCCATCCCCAAGGGGGAGAGGGCAGGCTCAGAGCCCCACTTTGGGTTTGACTGTAGACAGGATGTGGCTTCCCCTGAGCTCTAGGTAAAGGCAATAAACACCTCTGCCTGAGAGATTCCCAAGGTAAAAGGAACTTGGTGTTTTTTTCTTTAAATAAAAGTTTTAAAGTAAAAGGATTCATTTTTGAAAGGTTCCACTCATCTAAAGGCCTCCCACTCATTATGTGCCACACACATGCGTTAGTGACAGGACAACGGCCACTGATCTCAAAAGGCCCTCTCCAAGGCCACTAACAGTCCCCCAAGGCTGGCCCGCTTTGCTCCAGAGCAGAGCGAAGCACACGGCTCACCCCAGGACCGGCCGGGAGGGGGCAGGCCCTTCGGAGCCAACGGGAGCAAAGCTCTGGGGTGCCTGGGGTTCCCTCTCGGCCCTCCAGCCCGCCGAGTCAGGAATGTGGCTGGGTCGCAGCCTGGCAGCCCCGGGGGGCACCACCCCAAAGAGAGGAGGCGGCGCCTCCCAGGCGATGACAATTTTCCAGCCACCGGCTCCAGCTGGCCAGGCTCTCGCCGCGTTCCCG